ATTTTGTAAAGAACTTATCAAGTGGAAACAAGCTTTAATTTAAAGACTGTGACTTAACTTTTCATTTTTTTAGGCATCATAAGTATTAAAAATCAATATTTTATAATGCCATTACAGTAATTTGTAAGGTATAATTTTGTATCTCGAAATCACATACATTTCAATAAGTTAAAATTAATTAACTTAATAACTTCCCATAAACTCCAGCTAGAAGATAGATGAGCCTTGTCAAATAAGTCCAGTGAATTCCCAAGGTAAAATAGATAGTTTATATTTCCTACTCCAGTATTAGCAGGAATAAATAATGATCCATATAGGAATAGTCCAAAAACAACTGGCCTACTCCTTTCTTCAAACTTTTATTTGTTTGTGTTAAGAGGATAACTTGACAGCCACATCAATTAATCTTGAGGCTACATCATGCTGGAAAAATATTTTTATAATAATTAAGACAGAGAATCATTATGGACTTGAACCCTAATTTTGCCATAAACTAGCTGTTTGGTCATGGAGAAGTAAACTTGACCTTTGTGAACTCCATTTTCTTTATACATAAAATAGAAATAATAATAGATACTTTGCAGAATCAGTTGGAGGATTAGCAGTAATGTACACAAAGCATCTGGCATACATGTTCACCTGATATTCGATAGGCAAGTGGCAGATAGTTTTTAGGAAACTATGTCAAAGTGGCCAGCACATATGTAGTTTCACTTCACTCTGAATGATCTTACTGAAAATTTTCCTAATCTTCATTCTACATATTCAACACAAGTATCAGGAAAGCCCAAGTGCTCTATCTTTGTATATGTAAGATGCCCATTTCCTTCCTGTATACCCTAGTGAGGCAGAAAATTTTTTCTGGAATATTTTTTCACCTGACTGTGCTGCCGTCTTGGAGAAAGTTGAGGTTAAGTCAGAGATGGGCAGGTGTCTTGATCAGTTCACCAAACTTTTAGATGAAAAGATTCAGCTCAAGGGATTTGCATTATATCTTTCCCTGTTCCTCTCCCTTTTTGATTGTCTTGAGCTAACCTGGCAGGAAACATACTTGAAGAATCTAATAAAAGTTGACAATTATATGTTCCACTTTGTGATCCAACCCCCTATGTAAGGTAAATATTAATGCTTCCTATTTCTTGGGTTCTTGGTTGATAATTTCAATTACATGGGCCAATTACTGATCTTGTACTTCCAAATATTGTTTCCTTGAGGTAAGAAACAAAACCATTTTGAGATTAGGATAGCATCCAACAAAAGAAAAAAAAAAGCATTTCCTAAAGAAAGCAAACTTGAAGCTTCTTGGAGTCACCCCCCACTAGATTGTTAGGAAAACAAACAGTAGAGCAAATGTTGCTAATCCTATTCTTGCTTTGTGCCTTTGCCATTTAGGGGATAAAGAAGTGAATCTAATGAGGCCAAAAATCCTTTTTCAACCCTACAAGTGATGCATTTAATTTGTCAGGATGTAAATCAGCAGGAACTCTCAGCATGACTGTGTAGTATAATCCTGTCCATAAAATATTCCTCCTTGTTCTGCCAAAGAAGTGGTGGACCCTCCTAAGGGCCAGCTCACCGACTTGGCAGCTGAGGCCCCATCATACTCAAAACTGGTAAGTCACACATCCAGACACAACTCCTGACATTCCATGGGGAGGAAGCAAAGCTTAATTTAGATAATCCCCTTTGCAAAGTGTATTAGCTGATCCAAACCAGACCTGGCCAACTAAAGGCATGTTGTTCCTACATTTCAGAGATGCCTAAATGTAGAAAGAGCTCCTTGCTACATTTGGAAAATTAAGACTCATTTAAGGAATAGGTAGGGATAATCAATAAACTTCTTTAAAAATATATAAATATATATATATAAGTCATGTTTGACTTTGACCTTCTATCCACTTGAATGCTATGGGGAGGTATTTCTTTGTGGCTCTAGAAAATGCTTGGCAGAATTCCTGAATTCCATTTCATATATGGAAATAAACAATAATAATAAACAGAATAGGGAAAGTATGCTATCTATCACAAAAGTATATTTTTGGTTTTTTATAAAGTAAAACACTTTAAGTGGTTCATAGAATATACCTGGTTTAAAAATAAATGCTCCACCAACACTTCATTAAATACATTTGACCCTTCACAGGAAGGCACAGACAACAACAGAGATACAACAATGTCAGGAGATACAGCACATTGATAGAAAAATACCCCCAGCAACCCCAGGTAAAGTACTGCTACACTTGAGCATCAAAAAAGAAAGGAATGCAAAGTAGGAGTAAAAGATGTGTGTAAGTTCTTGTCAGCTTGAGCACAGAGATAAATTTCAAGTTAAATCCTAAATCTCTGAATTCCTTGTGAAATACCTATATTTCTGGCAAAAGGAATTGTTAGAACTCTGAAAAAATTATCACTAGCAATAAGTGTTGTGATTTGTATATACAAGACCTGAATTTTTCCTTAGAAATTAGAATTTAATAAAGGAAAAAAATTCATCAGCAGAAGGCATGTATGTGCTAGGATTAGGAATGAGATTCCTCTGAGTACTCATGGCACATGGAGAAGCCTCCTTTTCTTGACCTGCAGCAGAGAGCTCTTTTGAGGGCTTGAACCTTGACTCAGCTTTACAGATGGAACAGAGAGAGCAACTTTGAAGCAGTTTCCCTTAAACAAACAAACAATTTCATGGTGAAAACTCCATAGTAGGAAATGATACTAGGTGTCATATCAAGAATTATGATGGAAAAACAAAATGCCCATTTCCATGATCTGGAAATAAGGCAGAGGGGATATATTTAAAAAATATATATATAAAGAGAGAAAGAAAGAAAAAAAGAAAGAAAGAAAGAAAGAAAGAAAGAAAGAAAGAAAGAAAGAAAGAAGAGAAAGAAAGAAAACAAAATAAAGAATGAATATGAGAAGGAAGGTGGGAAAGAGAAAGAGAGACACACAGTACCGGGGTGGAGTTGGGGGTGAGAGTGTGAGCAAGCTTGAATACAAGTGACACTTAAGGGCAGCATTTGTTTTTGTAGTTAAGAGTGAGACCTTTCAGTCCTCCCAGTTTTGTTTTTTTTTTTTTAATGGTATCCTGACAGCTCAAGTGTCAGATGCAGACCAAGAGATAATACACATATCAGCAGGGGAAGAATTGAAGAATGTAGATTCATGCTGACAACTTTTTAAGAGTTAAATCATCTATGGTAACATACTTGGTGAGAGACTGAAACCACCCTAGGTTACACCTTAAAATGAAATACCATGCAGTTATTAAAAATGATATTAGAGGGATATTTATTCATGAGAATTGATATTTCCAAAGAAGGCAGGCTAAAAAGTATGTATGTACAGCATGACACAGCTTTCTATAAAAAATATATTTATATATAATATATGGTAACACATGCAGCTTTCTCAATGTGACAGGATTATGATTTTTAATTTTATTTTGTGTACGTTCTCTCTTTTCTCCAAATTCTATGTAATTATAGAAACAACCTAAAGATAAGGGAAAGTTGACAACGTTTTATGGTTCATTCCCAGACAAAGCTTTCACAATAGCATCTTGAAATATATGACTATAAAGGGGTTGACTTTTCGCAACAATGTTAAAGTGTGGTGAGATGGCTGGTGTAAAATATACCTGCTCCATGTATATGTCTGGTTACTGTGAAACAGCAGTAGGATAAATGGTACTTTTCAGGAGGATTTTCAATTCCAAAACATTTCATTATGCAACCAGTTCAGGGTCAAGTCCTGTCAAGTTTATTTATAGTTATACAGTTTACCCCACGACACAGTACAAAGATAAATAAATGTAAAATTTAGAAATACAAGTCATAGAGCATACGTGACCCCTTTCAGACTCTAAATCAACAGCCAGGGTTATCTTCTTCATGTAAAAGCTTCATTATAATTGTTGTCATTAAGGGCCACTTTTAGTGTAAAGTTGGGGAATCCTTTTAGGTTGTAGATAGTAGTATTGAGAGACCATGTGCTACAGTGCAAAGAGCAGGACTAGGGAGAAAGAAGCCTGGATTACATTCCCAGTTTACCATTAGCAAGCTGTTATGACCTTGGACAAATTACTCACTTCTACTGACTCTGCCCCTCATCTATAAAATAAGAGAACTAGCAGTCCTCTTAGGGGCCTTCCTAGTTTGGAACATGGTGGAAACTAGTTCCAATGACATAAGGTATTTAACTCCTTTCTAGCAACACAATGGTCTTTAAATCAATATGTACATAAGAACTGGGACTTTTTCAAGTCATCCAAATGGCCAGGAGGCAGTTAATAAGCAATACATTTGTCCTACAGAGGTCAGTGCTTTGACTGAATTGTCCATCATGAATGGCAATGACTTCGAAATGATATAGACTATATGTCATCTCAAGATCTCTAAGTCTCATTTCACCACTTGTGATGTATACAAAACACATCTATAAAACTAAACCAAGAAATGTCTTATATCCAGAGTAAGTGGATAAGAGATGGGGAAATGTGGGAAAGAGGATGTGTTTAAATGTGGGAAAGAGGATGGTGAGCAACTCCTGAATCATCCATATAGGTAAATAATTTTCTGAGAAAAATAATATTTGCTTCTCTCTAGTGCAAGATCTCTGAATTTAACAATCTTATAGCTCTATATAAGCCTAAGGATAGGTAGATTGACAATTCATGTTATAGAGGCTCAGAGACTGTTTTCTTCTCTATTGCTATAGATTTCATTCTGCTGAAAATTGTCAATATTTTGTGTCACTGAACTTAGTCACAGAATCAATTTTTGTGGCTATGATGGGATTTGTACAACTAAACATTAGATAAATTATGCCTAAAAGCTATAAAAAGCAAATATTTCAAGAGTATAAGCAATAGTATTATTTGTGTTCCATTAAATTGTCTTTATATTTCCTTTTTTTGCAAACCACCTCAATCTTTTAAGTTGACAGAGGTGAAGGATAAAAATAAGTACATATGTAAATATTTGGAATACGACAATCCTCACCTGTTTTTCTCATGAATCTTTAGGATTTCATTTGTCTGTTGAAGAAGCTGCTTCTCTAGCTTGTATGTTGATAATGAATTCTCTAGCAGTTGTATTTCAAGTCGAGAAGTTTGATTTAGTACCTCAAGATAAAAGATAAAAGATAAAAACATTTCAAACTTCAATCACAAAGAGTGAAAATAATTTTTGTTTTTTTTTATTTAGCAGTGTTTTCTTTTAAAATAGTATTTCTTCCAGAATAATTAATTAAATGGTCTACAGTCTACTAATTAATTCTTTACAATGTATCTTAAACATGACATTCGAGATTGAGGTTGCAAGTGAATGAGAAAATTGAGTTGTTAAATCCATTTTTATATTTAAATTTTCATGTCCTAAATCCCTAAGATATTCTACTTTGCTGGTTGCTTTATATGCCTATTATCCCCAATATTGATATAATACACATACTATCTCTGAGATAATATGAGACAGTGCAAGATCTTAGATATTGTGTATAATTAATAACTAATAGGAAAGTAAAATCTTCCCACTTCGATTTATCACCCTAGAAAAACCAATTACTAATGTGCAACAACTCTTGACATAGTTTATACAAATTCATGACCACAGAGTTACTGAATATCTGTTAGGTCAGGCCACTCTTCCAAATATCATATCATTTCACAGACATGGGCACATGCTAACAGAGGACTTGTTACCATAACTTTATAAATGAAGAAATGGAGGTTCAGACAGATGCCAAAATCCACACAGGAACCAAAGGAAGAACTGGGTTTCAAATCCAGACCATGTGACTCTAATTTTAATGCTCTATACAGAAAACTAAAATGGTTAGTTAAACCATCCTGGGTCTTAATCTAAAGAAATGAAGTAACCAGGAATCCAGATAGTACTGAAGACAAATTGTACTTATCCTTTCAACCACACTATACTGGGTGCTCTAGAATGTTCAACTTATCTTGAATTACGAAGACTCATGTTGCTAGTCAGGTTTTAATATAATGTGAGTCTGTGAGCCACAAATGCAAACCTACCATCCTCCAAGCAAACACTGCACACTGCAATCCTGTAAGATGCCTTCAAACTGTGCCAATGTTTTTGTGCCTCCCTGTCACTGTTCTGTCCACTTCCCACCCCACTTTCTTTAAGGGAGATAAAAAGGGCAAGGACAAAAGTATAATTAGCTTTAAAAGCTTCCTATGTCATTTGAAAACTTTTACCACTTTTCTTAAAACTACTTTTTGAGGGGATCCCTGGGTGGCGCAGCGGTTTGGCGCCTGCCTTTGGCCCAGGGCGCGATCCTGGAGACCCGGGATCGAATCCCACGTCAGGCTCCCGGTGCATGGAGCCTGCTTCTCCCTCTGCCTGTGTCTCTGCCTCTCTCTCTCTCTGTGACTATCATAAATAAATAAAAAAAAATTAAAAAAAAACTACTTTTTGAAAGGGAGCTGGAAAACCTTCTGGAGACTCAATATCGATCTAAAGGTCTACCCCTAAAAATGACATCATTAGAGTTTTCCTCCTTTTTGCAGTAGGTCTAAACCTGGGATTATATCAGATGCACATAACCTTTTCAAAACATACCGATATGACTAGGGCTTGACTTGGATTATAAGAGGTTGTGGGGGAAAGGGATGTATTTGCAAGGGACCAGGACAGGAGCTAGGATGAGATGAGAGAAGCAATTGCCTCAATTGTAGTTTAAGGAAGTGTCAAAAAACTCCATAATCTAGATAGTATTTTAATGCAACATTTTGAATATCAAAATTAATGCAAAATAATCCATGTTGAATGTAGCATAATTTTAAAATAAAGATAGGATCTGCTTCTGCATATTTATATTAAGTTTTGCATGACTTGATCCCTCTCTCCTCACCCTAGTCCCAACCCCCGGGGGTGGCAGGGTGCGGGTGAGGTGGAGGGTAAATGAGTGAAGGAGAGAATGGCAAGATGGGACATTTGTGCTTTTAAAAAGTTCTAAGGTTTTAGGATTCATTTTTACAATTGTCATAAATATAGATCTGAAAGCCAGTCCAAACATTACTACTACTAATCAATACTTAGACTTGTGGAGAGGTTCAGAGTTTTAAAAAATATTTTCCTATTCTGAGTCACTTCATTTGAGGAAAAACAGGAGCAAGAGGACCTGGGATTTGAAGACAGAATTGGGAACAGCACAGAAGACAAAATGGTAGACAACCTAAAGACTGGGGAGACACCAAAGGTAACTTTGAACTGTTGAACATAGTTTTACAAGTTTGTTGTTTGTTTATTAACTAGAATTACAATTTATAAAATAATTAAACAGGGGATGAGACATCTGGATCTTTTGGTGACACTTGGAACAGTGACAGTACTTAGCACAGAGAAGACAATATTGACTGAATGAATGAAAGGTATGTTGTCTCACTGAATCAGGCATATTATTTGCAGTTAAACAAAGTCTATTTTTCCCTTATTCACCATTCTCTCTCATCACACTTTCTGAGACTCTCAAAGACCAAAATTTTTTATTTTACAAAGAATAAAAGCTATTTTTCCATGTCTGTAAAGAACATAAGAGAATCCTAAGAACAGAAGGAATTATCAAAAATTGAAAATGAAGCTGTCTGTATCTAAATCCAGAGACCACAACAGCTCCTAATTTTTCTTCACTTTGTCCTACCTCCAGTCTGTTTGCTACATTACACCAGAGTGACCTTTTTAAAAACAGAAATTGGGCAGCCCCGGTGGCTCAGCAGTTTAGTGCCACCTTCAGCCCAGGGCCTGATCCTGGAGACCCAGGATCAAGTCCCACATCAGGCTCCCTGCATGGAGCCTGCTTCTCCCTCTGACTGTGTCTCTGCCTCTCTCACTCTCTCTCTCTCTCTCTCTCTCTCTGTCTCTCTCTCTCTCTCATGAATAAATAAAATCTTTTTAAAAATAAATAAAAACATAAATCAAACATAAACTCTTGATTTCGGCTCAGGTCATGATCTCAGAGTCCTGAGATAGATCCCTGCCTCTGGCTCCCTGCTCAGTGGAGATCTGCTTGAGATTCTTTCCTTCTGCCCCTCTCCCTACTCATGCTCTCTCTTTCTCTCAAATAAATAAATCTTTAATAAAAACATAAATTACATTATGTCGTCGCCAATATTAAATATGCAAATGGCTTCTCTTTGCAATCAGAATAAATTCCGAAGTTCTTAGCAAGGCCCACAAGGTCCTACATGATTAGAACCCTGCGTACTTCTCAGATCTCATCCTGCCACTCCCCTCCTTGTTTAAATCACATTGGCCATGTTTTTCCACCGCAACATGTCAGATTCATTTCTTCCTCATGGCCTTTGCATTGGCAGTTGCCCATCCCTTCCCAGATGCATGGCTGATTTCTTATTCAATTCTTGCTTAGAGAGACCCTTCCTGGCCATTGTCTGTAATATAACTCCCCATCATCCTCCATCAAGTCATCCTGTTTTATTGTCTTTAAAAAATCATCACTATTGGAAATTATCCTGTCTGTTCACTCCTTTGATGCTTCTCTACCCCATGAGGATGTCAGTTACACACAGGAAGAACTGACTATTCCATCTGGAGCCCTCCAAATTGCCAGTGCCCAGCATGGGGTCTAGCACACTGGCACACTCAGAGCTATTTGTTGGATGATAGGCTAGACATTGGACAATGAGTTATTTTTCAAGTTGGGTCAATGTCAGAAAGAAGGTGCAAGCCACATGAATGTTAAGTGGGACTTCAATGATAACAATCTAAAACCTAAATCTAAAGCAGCATCTGAATGTAGGAGGAGAGAGACAAATCCCAAATCTCACTTAGTCCAGTCTAGGTGTCAGGTCATCTTCGGCCACTTTTGAGCATAAATGACAATCCCTTCTCTTCTTTACCCATCACCTTGACCAAATAGCTACTTTATTTCAATTCTCTCTCCACTGATGTATTAAAATAGGCCTGAAGTTTAAAAATGAGCAACTGAGAGAACTGCACAGGAAACTATGATGAATTGACCACTTTTTTGCCACATGTCTATGAAACTTGTTGCTCAGCAATAACCTAAGTGTTCCATTAAAATGACAAAAGGCATTTTATTCGTTAACCTAAACACATTCCAAAGCACATCTCTGCCAATAAAGAAGGAAGGAAGGAAAGAAAGAAAGAGAGAAATGAAAGAAGAAAGAAGGAAAGAGAAAGAAAGAAAGAAAGAAATAGAAAGAAAGAAAGAAAGAAAGAGAAAGAAAGAAAGAAAGAAAGAAAGAAAGAAAGAAAGAAAGAAAAAAGAAAAAGAAAGAGAAGGAAGGAGGGAGGAAGAGGAGAAGAGAGGAGAGGTGAGGCGAGGCAAGGCAAGGCAAGGCAAGGTGAGCAAAGAATATTTGAAAAAAGCTCCTAAGAAACAATTTTAAACCTTAAATTTTTCAGAATATACCACAGAGTAAGAAAGACAAGGCTTGAAACTGACGACTTATGGACTCTAAGATGTTAGCTCTTCATTAAAAAATAAACTAAAATTGGGGCATCTGGGTGGCACAGCTGGTTCAGCTTCTGACTCTTGGTTTTAACTTAGGTTGTGATCTCAGCATTGTGACATCGAGTACCACATCTGGTTCTGTGCTCAGGGCAGAGTCTGCTTAAGACTTTCTCTCCCTCCTCCTCTCCCTGTCTGCCTGACCTCTCTCTCTCTCTCTCTCTCAAATAAATAAATCTTAAAAAAAATAAACTAAAATTTAAAAATAAAAATGGCTAGTTTCTCAAACCAAGTAAATTAGAGAATTTAGCTTCTCTTTAATATTTTTAAGAGTGGCTATGATCTTCCTTAAAAGGAAAATCTCCCTTGAAAGAAATTTTCTTTCGCCAGCATATATATTAACTTTGAAATCAGCCTTGTTTGTGGTTTGTACTTCCTTTTAATTATGTTTTAAACAAAAAATATAACACAAAGTATGATGCCTTGGCAATTAGATTTTTACAAAAAAATAAAGGCAGCTACATGTTCAAGGAATTAGAAGATCACCATTTTAAAAAAACTAATGAGGGATCCCTGGGTGGCTCAGCAGTTTGGCGCCTGCCTTTGGCCCAGGGAGCGGTCCTGGAGCCCCGGGATTGAGTCCCGCGTCGAGCTCCCGGCATG